GGCGCGCGTGTCCCTAACTCCCAGCTCTGGCGCCGTCCCCGCCGGCTGACAGTGTGCCGAGCGCTCGCGGCTGCCTCGACTCCGCCGTCGCCGACGCCACTGCCGGGGCTGAAGCGAGAGCCGCCCGCCACAGCCACCGCCACTCCCCTCCCCCCGGCCCCGCCCGCCGCGAACTCCTGGGAACTCGGAACGCACCACCCCGCCCTCGCGGGAGGGGGAGAGGAGCCGACCCTCGGAGCGTGGCTGGGGCTGGCCCGCCAGCCCTGCAACTTGGGCTCTCGTCTGCTCCAAGGGTGCCAGCCGCGTTTCCTCTCACTCCGCCCTCCAATATACGCTCCTCCCCCTTCAGAAAAAAAAAAAAAGAAAGAAAGAAAAGAAAAAAACCTCTTTATCCACTTTGATAACGGGGTTTCTCCCAAAGCAGGGCTTTCAAAGGGACAAGAAAATCTGGACTAGGTTACCCGACCCCGCCCCTCGCTGGTGCCTCGTTTCCTCCCCTCCCCAGCCTTTCCAATGGTCTCGCCCACTCCGCCCCTCGCGGGTCCTCCGCGCCCCGGCGCTGACAGAGGCGGAGTGCGGCGGGATGGTCGCTCTCGTCGCCCGCTGCTCTCCGCTCCCGGGCGGCGCTCTCTCTCCGGCGGGGCTCGGGAAGAGGGTGGGTGGCGAGGAGAAGGCGGGCTGAGGCTGCCGCGGCGTGGCCCCAGCTACAGGCTCCTGTCTGGGAAGCTGCATGCTTTCCGAGTCCCTGCTCTTTTTTGGCGACTGGAGCTGAAAGGGGCGACTCTGTCCTCCCCTCGGCGGCTCGGCCGAGCTCTCCGAATCCCGCCCTTCTCTCAGCCCCGTTCCCGCCCCCCGGCGCGCTCTGAGGCTCGCGGGCTCCGGCGTTCTCCTGCTCCTTTCTCCGGGACGCGGCATGGAGGGGCCCGCGGAGCCGGGCGAGGAGCGGGACCCCGGGAGGTTTGTTGTCCCGCCGCCGCTTTCCTCCGGTGTCCGCTTTCCCGGCCCGGCGGCTGGCAACAGGAGGCCGTGGCGCTGCCCCCATCCCGGGGCTTCGAGTGCGGCGGCGTCTCTCGTTGGTCCCTTGCATGTTCGCACGTGCCATTTTATTTCCGTGTTTTCCTTTGAACTAGTCTCGGGAAAAGTGACCTGGGGAAGTATCACACATTTGCCCGTGCGAAGATTGTTGTCCATCGTGACTGTCTGTCCGCCCAGCCCTCTTCATCCACCTGCTCAGCACAGCCCAGCACAGCCCAGGTGGCTTGACCTTGAAGCCCCAGCCGCCTGCCAGTTCTAGAGGAGGAAGGACAGACAGTCGGACAGTCCTTAAGAGGGTAGAGGCAGAAGACACCAGTGCCAAGGTCTGACAACCGTTAATTTTATGTAGGTCCTGTGTTCTCCACCACATATTCACGAGTGTGCTCCAGTAAGACAGGACAGCCAAGAGGAGCCTGTCCTTACTAAGCCAAAGCTTTCTGCCCCGTAAACCACACTGTCTCCTTTGAATCAATAGAGCCTCCCCACTGACTCACAATGTGTTCCTCATCTCCAAGACTACACATTTTACCCCCTCCCTGCGTTTCTTTTTTTCTTTAACTTCCGCCTCCTGCCCTGTCACCATTGGGTTTAGGTCCCCCTTTTCCTCATCGCCCTTCTTTCTCCCTTCCTGTGCCTGCTGTGGCTGTCATCTTTAAACCTGTCTCCTGTAGCCACTACTTTCTATTACCTATCCTCACGATGCTCTTAGGAATAAATCTTGTCCTGCATAGCTCCAGGAGATCCCCTGATGATGATCATAATTGACGAAATGTAGCTATTGTGACATTCCTCAGCTGTGCTGACACCACTGTTTCCCTTGAGAAAATTTCTTTTCCTATTTTCACATTCCCTGAACCTAATTTCACCGCTAAATTTAGACAGCCCACTGCACAATGACTAGCTAATTATCTGTTTAGATAGCACTTTAACACGTTGTTGAGACTCAGTTAAATGTTAAACAACCAAAATTTTAATATTGCTCACCAATTTTATTCCCTCGGCCTTTCCCTGATAGCTCCATTCTACAGGAGAAGTAATTTAGCCAACATTTTGAAAAGCACCTAAAGCTTACTATGGAGGTTACTGTGAAATTGCTGCAGAGACCATAAGAAATTAACAGTTTACTATTTTTCAAAGGAATGATCTGGAACTTAAAAAAAAAAAAAAAGTATTTCCTTTGCATTTGAAAAAAAACTGAATGGTGGCATTCCTTACCTAAGTGAAAGAGAACATGGAAGAGCAGGATTTATAGATGTTATAGAAGTATTTAAAGAGCATCTACTGGTGTTTTATGTATATATATTCATTATGTTCTAATACTAATTTGTGTTGATACATCTTCAACTAGAGATGTCAAAGTCTGTGCTTACTTCCCCAAAAAGATAGCATTACTAGTATTTTCACTTTACAGCAAGAGGAACCTAGGCACAGGGGTTAAATTCTCTGCAAATACTGTCTGCCATGTACAATAGTTTTTCTGCATGAGAACCAAATTCTTGCCTGGCAGCAGACACCACTGTCTGATCCCTCAAGATTTCACTTTTCTCTGAGTTGAGAACAAATTTACTAAGGAAACTAAATTTTTTGGTTTCTAAATGTGTCCGTTTTCAAATTACATTCTTCTGAGGGCCGGGGAGATAGCTCAGTGAACTAAGCGCCTGCTTTGGCAAGCACATGGAGCAAGCAGGGTTCGATCCCGATCCCCCAAGGCATGCCAGCCATGCCCCTGGCATGCACTGAGCCTGTGACAGAGTCCAGGTGTGGTGACACACACATGTAATCCCAGTGCAGGGGAGGCTGAAAACAGGAGGATCACAAGTCCTCTCTGGGTAGTAAGACCCTGTACCAAATACACAAATGAAAAGAGAAATCATGTTCTTCTCAAGTGAATAAAATTTAGGCAAATCTGCACCAAGCTTTTACATTGAAAATTATTACTGGTTAATATTACTTTCTTTTACTAGGAACAATCACTTCTTCAAGGGTTAAAGCTCCTGTCATTTTTTAAAGACCTTTAATGGAGCAGTACTAATAGGTTTTATGCCATTCTTAGTTTTCTTTACAGGTAAGTTCGCATTCTTTGAGTAGCAAAAAATGGAAGAAATAATTATAGCTAACTTACTAGTATTTTTGACACCTTTGTGTACCTAAGTATGCATTTTTTAAAAACAATCTAAACAAAAATCAACATGATCCTAATGCTAACAATGATTTCATTGTTTTGTTTTTATTTATTTATTTTTTATTTTAGGGAAGGGTCTACAGGGTGTTCAGGGTCTCTCACTACTAGATCAGACTCATAGTGATCCGCCTGTTTACAGCCTCCCAAGAGCTGGGATTACAGTGCCACCACACCCAGTCTCAATTGTCATCTCAGCATGCCCAAGGGTGGGGCTGGCATGGCAGGCCCAGGGATCCCAATCCTGGCCCCTGGACCTGCTCGCAGGCACTTTAATCAACAGGTATTTAGCTGGCTGGTTTCATTGTTTTAAGAGAATACTAGTGATTTGATGTCCATCCAACTTTCTGCCTCAAAGACTATTTGCCACTTATTAAGATTCTTTAACTCTGAGGTAAAAAAAAAAAAAAGTCATTTTTAACAAAAAATATGTACTGTGCTGGACATTTTGCTTTCACTCCAATACTCCAAATTAAAAATTTGAGGGGCCAGGGAGATGGCTCAGTAGAATAAGCGCTTCCCTGGCAAGTGCAAGGGTCTAAGTTCAGTCCCTGGTTCCGCAAAAAAACAAAATAAAAATTTGAGACTATTAGAATTTCATCACTTCCTGAAATTTAGGTGGCATTTAATAGTAGAAGTAGAATATTATATACTTGAATGAACTCCCCTTACCGTCAGTAAATTATTTATAGCCTGTTGTGTAAAGGAACATAACTCATCCTTCATTAGAAGACATGAGCAATACTTTGTGGAATATCCAGATTGCTACTGTATTTGATAACAAACTGATGTTACCCACCTAGAATCACAGAATTATACAAATAATTAAAGTCCAGAGTCTTAAAAAAATTACCACTTGCATGATATTCACCAACCACTTATTTAACAAAACAAGTCTTCCTACTAAAAACATTTTCCTCAGAGTCATAAACTTTCCCCTTCTTATTTCCCTCAGTTTTTTGTTCAGAATTCACTTCATCATTGAGACTTTCACAA